GTTTTTTTACAATTAGAAAAAAACATAGGGGTGCAGAATGCAATAAATGCTAATATGAAATGAAGATTTAGTTAGTTTCAAGTGGTCCTTACAGTTGGTTTGATGCTTGGCATTTTCCCGCCAAGTGAGCTTCTTACCTGTTAGATGCATATAAAGACAAGTCAGAATTCATATATTGGAGAAAACTAACAAAATTAACTTTTTGTAGGGACTAAAAAGTGATTATTACAGGAATTGGGGGCTTTTGTGACAAAGAGCCATTTGAGGGGAAAATAAGCTTCGACTGATCGTCTAACGGATCATGATCGTACGGTGAATTCTGCCACCAAACGGCTCCGTTACCGTCAATTGTCCCACTCCCTCGAATTGTAAGCCCCACTAATTTAGTGAACTCGAGCCATTGTAGTAGGCCCGAGCCCCAATGGCTCGGGCTTGTTGGTGCAGTAATTACGCCGTCTAACTGCACAATTAACACATTGATTAAACTAAATTAAATAATTACTACTTAATAATAAATTAAATTATTTTACCTGAAAAACAATGTTGTGCTGACAATATGGGCCAGAAAACGAAATGGGCCCCACAAGAAAAACATAATCTGCTGGTACATTAATTGTTGAGGCTTCAATCTTACAAGCAGCAGCCCAAGCAGCTTGAAATGCCTGCATTTTAATTTACATTAATTAATTTATTATAATATTATATTTAAATTACCAATATACCTGAATAGTCAAAAAATGGAATCAGTTCATGTGCTGGTTTAACATCTTACAGTTGTTAGTTTGTATTTTGAGTGGACCACTTCAATTTCTTGTCTGTTTCTTTGGCAGTTATTGTTGTTTCTAACTGGTTTTTTTAAACTAATATATTGTCACACACCTAACTATTGTGCTCAAAGAATTAAATCTAATAAAAAAATTTGGGAAAATTACAGTTTTCATCCCTCAAATTTGCACCAGTTTCACATTTGGTCCCTCATGTTTCTAAAATTCAACACTTTAGTTATTTCCGTCAATTTTGCTGTTAGTACTAACGGAATCAAGTTTGTCCCCATCACTGCCTTAGTTGACGACGGACTAACGGTAAATTGACGGAAATAACCAAAAATTTTAAGGTATTGAAACATAGGGGACTAAATGTGAAATTAGCACAAACTTGAGGGGTCAAAAGTGTAATTTTCCCGAAAAAGTAGCTACCTTTTGTTGTAAAAATATAAACTTTGTAATAAAGGGTAATCATGGGAAACCTCAAGCTCTACCAAAAAAGAAATTAATTTCGTGGAATCTTTTAAATTCTTCAAAAAAATTACCAGACAAAAGTACTAATTCTTGGAATTCGAAGATGAATAATATAATTACTTATAATCACATGAATTTAATAATCCATCATTAACAAAACGAAATTAAGACAAGCATGGAAGTTTATGTTTTTCGTTTACCTTAGTGTCGTCCGAGATTCCATCACCTTTCGCTCCGAAATTCAGCACATTCAAAACCGTCGAACCAACCGGCGAATAACCGCCACCTTTATCCGTGGGCGGAGCTGTGGGGGGAGGAGGGCTTCCTTTAGGTCCGGTGGCTGGTGGCAGCGCCGGAGGCGCCGACACCACCACCGGCGCCGGCGTCGGCGGAGGTGGCGGTTTTGGAGATGGAGTTTTATGTTTCGACTTGCCGGCATTGCTACTGTGGTGGCTTTTACCTTTCTTCTTGGAAAGAGAATCGGCGGCGTTTCTGCTCTGCCGCCAATGCCGGCCAATTCTCTTCGCATTGCCGGTTTCAATATGGGAAAACCCTAAAAGAAGAACCGCGACGATGACCATGAATGTTAGGTTTCTGAAGTAAGAACCACCCATTTTATCGCCGGAGATGGTGGCGGCAGCGGTGGTGGTGGAGGGAGGATTTTGTGGGTTATCTGAAGATGGGAAGAGCAAAACAGAGGAGTGAGCTTATGGCTTTTTATATAGATAGGATCAGGGTCATGAGCAAAGATTGTCTGATAATGCTACAAAGAATTATGTCTTATTCCTCTTTTTATTTTTATTTATATTTATTTTATTATGAGGTAGTATATATTAATATTGTTTGTAATAATAATATTTTTTTATGGGGTTTTGGTTAGGAAATAGTTAACTAACTGGTCCAGTTTTGGCATATGAAAGTTTGTTTTGTAGCCACTGACTCATTCAGTTGTCCATGCACAAATACCACACTTATAACTTCGAACTGCCCAATTGGACCATTTATTAATTAATTAATAAATACATATTCTTTTACTTTTTTTAGTGACGACTCAAATATACAATATATATATATATTCTTTTCCAATATGATTTTCCTAATAATTTACTGAGCATTAGTAGATTCAAATTAGAATAAAAGGAAATCTAATAATCATTTAATCTATATAAGTACAATAATGTACGTAAATTTTGTTGCTTCCGTATATCGCAACATGTATTTGGTGATCTCTACTTTAATACGCTCGTTAAGAGGGACTATTATTTTATATATATATATATATATATATATATATATATATATGCAATAAAAAAAAAAAAAAGAATAAAAAAAAAGGAAAATAGTTATATGTTGCGATCAGTGGTTAGATGTAAAGGGCCAAAAAAGACACGTGAGTGGGTCTATAGATTGTCAAAGGCACTGAATATAACAGCTCTCTTTATGCGCTCACATGCAACCCCTTCACGGGCTTCCTTTTTTTTTTTTTCTCCTTTGTCTTCCTTATTAAACCAACAATAACAATTATCTCTCTTTTTTTTTTTTATAAATATTCTTTATATAAAATTGAATTAAATATGTAAAATCGCACATTCCATTTACATTTGATTCAAATACAACCAAATCAAATGAAATGCTACGAATCATGTTCAAGACTTCAAAATAATTAACGACAGGATGTGATAAATGCCGTTTCAGTTTTAATGACACCGTTTCAACTTGAAATGTGATTTTGACTGTTTTTTAGTCCGGATTAGGCACAACTCAAAGCACAAAAGTTTGTGGTTATTCGAGTTAGGTTTCTAATCCAACTTGAATCACAGAGATTGGGTATCGGATTATAAAGTTGTTCATGAATCAATGAACACTGCCCACAGTTTTCATAATTTTGAATTATCCAAAACTCATTCATGCATAACTTTGTCATCGAACACACAAATTAGTTGACTCGAGTTGAATTAAAAAGCTAACACAAAGGGCTACAACTTCCGTGTTTATGTATTTTGCCAAAATCGAACTTGCAAATGGTCAAAATCTCGTTTTGAGTCGATCGAAACGGTATGAGTAAAAAATGAAAACGACACTTAACATTTCGGTTTAAGAAAATGTAGGAAGAAAGTGTATAGAGGAAAACCAGAGGAAGGGAAGCCCATGGTTTCAGGTTGTTTTTCTCATGTATTAAGTATTGCAGAGTTGTACTAGAAAATTACCACTGTCCGAGTGTCCGACCACCAATAATTTAGACAAGATCGACCACTCACAAATCATCACATGATTCTAGCAATGTAGCACCTTTCAAATAATAATATTAATAATTATTATTATTTATTATAAATGTGAATACAAATTAGAAAGAAAAAAAATGATTTATTTAAAAAATTGTTATGTTAACTTAAGAATTTGTTATTGTTTGGTTGTAATTATTACAACTTGGTGAGATTTTCATGTTTAGTTTCTTAATTATTGGTCCATCATTGATTTTTTTATGCTTTCTTTTTAGATTTTTTATATTCCGGTCACAGGTGGTGTTGTGATATACACAGTATCGAGTACTGGCAGTTGCAGTACAGGAATTTCAACTCTGACAAAGGTTGGTTCCTTAAGCTACTATAACGGGCCGTTGTGTCGCTATAATTTACATTCGCCGATAAAGAATTTACTTGGCCAGAAAACGGGCGGGCCCTGAAGTTGAGTTACGGGATTTCGCCATTTGGTGCAAGACCGCTTCATTTTCATCATCACTCACAAATATTTTATACTTTATGGAGGTTTGACTTATGTTGACAATTCTGAATATATGTCAGAACTTCTCTTTCTCTCTCTAAACCGAATTGCACCAAACCGAAGAAATCTAGATTGAGACATTCTACCACGATTTCAGGTGATTTTTTTGCTTAAAGAATAAATGTGCTAGCTGTAGTATTTAATTTCTTGCTTGAATTGATGAATTGATTCATATAATTGTAATGAAGAGCATTTAATTTTCAAGGGCTTATTATAATATTTATTATTTTTTTTGCAAAAAAAAAAAAAAAAAAGATTAATGGGTGTTCAGATAAGTTTAGGAAATGCAGAGATGAAGTTATGGTGGAGAAATCAGTTTGTCCTAAACTTATCCAGACATTATCTTGTAGTAATTGGATGTGATGACCACACGTAAGCCCGATTTGGTGACTGCAGGCCCGACAATTTTAATTATTGTAAATTTAATACACTCGTGAACTTTAAATTTGACTCGTGAACTTGGTATATATGTATATGTATATGTATGTATGTATGATTACTTGATTAGGGTTCTTCATCAAATAATTTAGCATCACACATTTTTATTGTGGCACTTTTAGCATTATCCCCAATTCTCGTGAATCAATTTTTTCACAAGGTGTTTGCAGTTCAATAAATGACGAGATTCGAGCACAAAAAGTATTTTGTCATAATTTTAGATTATTGTTTTTTTTGTTTCTATTTGATATTTAATCTCACATTTGACTTTACAGATAAAATCAAGAGATTATTAAATGTAGAGTTACAATATATATTTATTTATATATTAGTTTTTTATTTTTTCTTTTTTATATTTTTTTTAACGAATGAACCAACAACCAACCATATACAGTTAAACCTCTATAAATTAATGCAGTCGGACTAGGGAAATTCTATCAATTTAGTGAATTATCAAATTATTGAGTTAATAATTTAACACGTTTTCAACGAGTCGGGACTGAGAGAAACTATTATTTAATCGAGGTTATTAATTTATCGAGTATTAATTTATTGAGGTTCTACTGTATGTGCTAATGTACACGGGATAAACCTACACTTAATACTTAATCATGTGGAACTCACAAAGAATCTGCCAACAAGTCGAGAAGACGACGAAGCATAAAATAATTCTCAAACCGTTAGTTATTCACGAACGAGGATTGAATTGTAGGACTAAGTTATGTTTGGTACTTAAAATGATCTGTAATCGGCAAGAATTATTTAATTAATAATGACTAATCTTCCAACCAAACGAGCCTTAAAGAAACAACATAAGCTATGCACAGTTGAGGGCTTTTGAGATCCTACACCGGGTGAAATACACCGGGTAGATCTTTACCATTAATATACACACAAACACACACACACCTAGGGCTGTGCGTTGGTTGGTTTGGTTAAAAACCAGGCATAAAACCAACCCAACCCATCCAACCAACTTTGGCAAATATTGGAAACCGTTATCGACCCAACTTACATGGGTTGGGTGATGGTTGAAAACCAATTTAATGGGTTGGTTGGTGGTTTGGTTGATGGGTCATCCATCTAAATATTTTTTAATTTTTTTTTTAATATTTTATTACTTGTTACAACGCTATATCTTTTATAAATTAAATGCGACTAGTTCAATAATATTCAAATAAAAGATTCAAAACATTACGGGCATATATATTGCAATTAAACATAAATAGTTCAACAAATAATAATCGTCCAATATTTAGACTGTATATCTTAAAATTAAAATAGTTCAAATTAGATAATTAGGTTAGATTTATTGTTTTTAGGATTTTGGTCAATATTAAACAATTTAATAAATGTGATATAAAATAGAAATTTGAAATTAAAACTATTAAAAATTTTAATTAAAATTAATAAATAATAAATTAATGAATAAAGTTGGTTGGCCGATATTAACCGACTAACCAACTTTTTAGCATATTAGAAACCATTATCGACCCAACTATACATGGGTTGGTTGACATTATCGACCCAACTTAAATGGGTCGGTTGATGGTTGATTAACCATCACAAATTGTGGGTCGAAAATGGGTTGGTTGATGGTTAAAACCGATCCATGCACAGCCCTACACACACCCACATTGGTGTGTGTAGATCAACGGTGAAAAATCACCCGGTGTAACTTTCACCGGAATAAGAGTACTGGAGTAGTACCCGTAAATAAATATGCAAAATTTATTCTAACCAATATTAATTGCTATTGTCCCAAAAATACTTGGAATCTTGTTAAACAAATCTAGCATGGACCCCACGCACCATAAATTCCTATTCTAATACCCCAAAAAAAATTAAAATTAAAATAAAATAAAATTGGCTCAGAGATTATTCCAGAAGTTTTGCTGAAAGCAACAATTTCTTTCAATTAATTATTCTTATTAATTAATTTCCCCCAAGAAAAAAAAAAATATTACAGAATTTGCTGCTGCGGTTAAAAATAATATTTATTAGGGGTTGTTTGGCATGTGAAAAAACTTGAGTTGAAGTTTTATTTGTTTTTATTACGTGTACACATCACATCCATTCATGGGTGTTGTTCCCATAAAATTCAGGAAAATAAGAAAAACAAAAAACAAATATTTCTTGTCATTGTTTTCTTTGTCTGCATTAGGGTTTTGTGAAGTGTGTGGCCAATACAAATCGTGTAAGCGTTCACGGATTTGCTTTCTTACAAGGGCCAATTTTATTTTAATTTCTTTTATTATTTATTATTTTAAATTTTAAATTTTAAAATTTTCCCTGACATATGTTGTGCATAAAGCAATCCGTGAATGTTTTTTGCCAATAATTCAAGCTACATATGTTTACAACACACACACACACACACACACACACACACACACACACGAGCACATGATCCGTAAGCTAAGGCAGCTATCATAGTTCACAAAACACTACTGGCAATGACCTACACACACACACACACACACACACACACACACACACACACACACATATATATATATATATATATGTATATATAATTGCATTGTGTCGAATTGAATTCGGGTGGGAAGAATTTGTAGGGAATCGAGTTCAAACGATTTCATGTTAGATGAAATGTTTAGAATTTATTATAACGGTTCGTGTGGAAAGGTCAAACGCGAGAGTTCAGTGATTTGGAATTTACCTACGGTGAATTTCACCCGATGTAACATCTACGAGAAGATGTCAAGACCTAATATATGTATATTAAAATTGAAATATGACAAGTGATGCTCAGATGAATGGTCAGATGCAATAGAATGATAAGAATGCACTAACCTGAGACGTTGATTTATGTTCCGCCCCATGCGGTACCTCTGCATCACAGCCATTAATTGCCTAACGAACTTCTGTTTAATGTTTTCCTTCTGCATATAAAATTCGAGAACGTTCGTCGAGTTTAATTTTAAATAAATACTTGCCAATTCAACATATATACATTACATGAAAATCAGTGTTATTCCAAAATGATTCTTATTATTATTAACGGGAGAAATAGAAATACCTCCTCAGAGCTTAGCATCGTCTTTCATAGTGAACCGTGCACTTCAATCGAACTCTGACCTATTTCCCTTCTTATCCTTCTCGCAGCACCAATTTCTCTACAATATTTCATCCTCTCAAAATCTCCGATATCCGAGTAAAAATTCGAAGCCTGTAATAAACCAGAAGGATTGTCCGTCTCAAGCCCCATCAAAATCTCCGCAGCTCTTTTCCCCACTTGCTCGTTTTGGTGGACCCTACAACTCCTCAACACTGAGCTCCAAATTACCGAATCGCCCTCCCATGGAGTATCTTTGACTAACTCTTCCGCTTCTTCTAGTAAACCCGCACGCCCCAAAAGGTCAACCATGCACGAATAATGCTGCCTATCTGGATACACACCAAAACGAGTTTGCATCGAATGAAAAAGCAATCTTGCCTCTTCTACAAGGCCCGAATGATTGCAACCCATCAATACACTCAAGAACGTCACTCTATCAGGTTCTCGACCATTCCGGAACATTCCATTTAACATTTCAAGACATTCGTTTCCCATCCCGTTTCGAGCAAGTGCACTAATTATCGATGTGAAACAGAACACATTTGGGGAGGGAAGTTCGTTGAATATTTGGCGGGAAAATTCGATTTCTCCTGATTTAGAGTATGCGTCTATTAAAGAACAAGCAACTGCGTTATCGGATTCAAAACCTGATTTTATAGTGCAGGAATGAAGCAAAGGGCAGCTACATGAAAGAGGGAATGATATAGCTTTCAAAGTCGAAGAAAGACTAACTTCGTCATATCCGATTTTTTCGTCAACCATAAGACCAAACAGATCTATTACATCCTCTGTGAGACCAAACCTTAGTAAAGATGTCATGAGAGAGTTACAACACTCAAGGGTTCTTTGAGAAACACCGTTGAATACACCGACTGAGCTCTCAATATCTCCACATTTTCCGTACATGTCGATCAAAGCGGATTGAATGAGGACAGACTGAAGACATAATTTCAAAACACAGCAATGAATTTGCTTCCCAAACGAGACGTCTTTCGTTGCACTAGATAGTTTCAAGAATGCCAGAAAAGAACAAGCTGATGGCTTCTTATCCCAAAAATGCATCCTATGATAGAATTCAAGAGCTTCGAATGAATAACCATTGGCTGCACAAACGGAAACCATGGAATTCCACGAAATAACATCTTCGGTTGGGATAACCTCGAACGATTTTCTAGTATCTGTAAAAATCCCACAAGCGGAGTAAAAGTCAACTAAAGCATTAGCTACAAACAAATTTGAGTTGACTAGTCCTTTCTTGATTACACAGCCATGCAGCTGCATTCCTTGGTCAATAAACCTCTCATAACCACAACCCCGAATCAAATAGCAAAAGGTAAGCCCGTTTGGTTCCAAATCATCCGATTTCATGTAGTTATACACACACAACATCTCGTTCGATCGCCCCATTTCACATAAACCACGAAAAACAAGATTCCAAGTAGCCAAATTCCTATCTTGCAATGTACTGAGCAATCTTAAAGCAATATCAACGAGGCCCATTCGCATATAAAGATCAATTACGGTGGAGCAAATATACGTATTCGTACTAAGACCAAGAACAACTGCTCTGCAATGAACCACAAGCCCTTGTTCAAAGAACCTCGCACAGCTGCACATGCTCAAAACAGTTGAAAAAGTTGATGGATTCTCAGAAATCCCATGAGAAACCATTTCGCTGTACAAACTTAAAGAATGTTTTGGAAACCCTCGGCGGTAATACCCCGAAATCATAATGTTCCAGGTGATGGCATCTCTGTTGGTCATTTCGTCGAACAGTTTGACTGCAGAGTCTAAGGACCCGTGTTTCGTTAAGTAATCGATGGTTCTGTTGTAGTAGTAGATATTGGCGTTGCTGCCATGGTTAGTGTCGGAGAGCGTGTGTAGTGGGAGGGAGAATTTGAACAGCGGTGCGGCTTTTTTATGTCTCCGATCAAACGTTGTTGCTCTTGCACAGAACAGCAGTAAGTTTTGGTTTCTCATCAAAATAAAAGCCAAATAGTAAATAAATAAATAAAGAGCGAGTGAATTAATCCTTCCTGAAATTATATCAAATTCCATAAAGACCCCATTTATTGCGAAAATATTACAAAAATCTCTCTCAAAATTTAGTTTTAATTAAAAAAATTTAGAATAAACTCATTAAGTAATATTATTATTCTTAAACGTCAATTTTTGTTCAAAAAGATGCACTAAAATTATTAAATTTGCGGTGGCCTTCTAACCTAAATCAAATTTCAATAGACATTTATGTAATTTTTAAAAAATGAAGGGATCTCACTTTAGTTACATAAGGTGTAACTTAGGCCCATTTGGCTAAACTTATCTTAAACAATTAATAATCTCTTTAACTTGACAAGTTGTTTTAAAAGCTAATAAGTTGTTACTTGTAACTATTTTTACAAATTATAAGATCTTAAATAAAAAGTATTTTTTAACAAAATTTTATTTGCTCTCCAGCAACTTATTTTTCGAATTTTTAATATTCCTGAAAATTTTACTAAACATTTTGAAAGAACTTATAAGCTCTTTTTAACAGCTTACAAGCTTAGCCAAACACCCACCTAGCCGAAGCTTAAAGAAAATAAACTCAATTCTTTGAGATATATCTTAGGAAATGTCTTGGGATAAAACAGCCATAACCAAATATCTTAAGACAAACTCAACATTATTCAAGACAGAAAATTCAAATCCATAAAAACTACATTTGCCTTTCGAAAATCAGCAGGTTGATGCAATAGCTTCTAGAAGCGCTACCACGAACTGCATTTGGGTTTCCTCGTCGACCCTCGAAAACGGCGGAATGTGAACAAAAAGACATTTATGCCCTTTCTGCTCCGCATACATGAGGGAATGGTAGTACACAAAATTGCACACGAATCTGCCTGCATCGTTCGATATCGTCAAATCATAGCCCTTCATCTTCAAAATCTCCAAAATAGCATCCACCGAGCAAGATGTCTTTCAACGGACGAGATCGAGATTAAGGCATCGAGCGAAATATACAAATTAATATATTATTGAAAAAGAAAAAGTAAGATAGTTGTGCACCATTCTTCGCTGGGATACTCCACCATCGCCAAGAATTATGGGAATTTGCTGAGGAATCAAATCGAACACTAATCAAACAATCTCAACTTGTTGAGATAGAAAGTAAATTAAAATTAAAACGATTTTTTTTTAATAAACTATAATTATAATGAAAATAATAACCTGGGGCTGCCATCCAAGCTGATCTGGACAGCAGAAACTGGCTTCGTTTATTGCTTGACGCTCGAGGGCAAACTTCAATGCCCCACTACTAAGCCCGAGGTGAAGCTATAACATTAAAAAAAAAAAAAACAAATTTACTTAGGCCTCGTTTGGTTTCCAAGATAGGATTAGCCATTAATCTATAATTGTGGGCCGGATCCGAAAACAAACAGCAGAAAATCGAAAAGAAAAATCAGTTCTCATATGTTATTCATTGTTCTACTGGCTCCGTAACCAACAATTTCCGACTAGCCATAGCTTATATCCGATTCGCGAGCTATTTCACTAGTTATTATAAATATCAACTAAATTGTACATAATTCTTGGAAAAATATTTATACTTTGTTATAATGCAAGCAAAAAGGAATTAGCTGATTTACCCAGACGACATTTTTGTTATCCGAATTGATCCCCGTGGATATTCCCGATTCCAACACTTTGTAGAGCTGCGTAACTGCACCGGTGCCAGCAGTTTCGAGAATGCTGCAGATTCCCAAAGTATAATCCGCGTTTGGTCCGTTGCTCTCAACGTAATCCCTCAAATTGTTGACTATGGTCTCGGTTGGATTCTTATCAACCCCATGGAATCTCTTGAATCCTGTCACGTTTATTCGAATCGAATTCGGACCCTCCGATCCCATCTCTCAATTGATCGAAATTCGAGCAGTTCCCTTTTTTACCTATTCATAATAGAAAATTAAAAAAATTCACTCCTCCATTGAAATCCCCTTTTCAATTTGGCAAAAATCATGATCACAAGAACCCATTTAAAGGATGAACAAATCACTCAAAATTAGAAACCCTAAAAAAAAAAAGGAATCTTTACCACGTCATATCATACAATGAGATGATATATCACTAATATCTGCATAAACACACACACACACACACACACATGTTTGAATCGAAGGGTTTACAAACGAAAATTACCTTAATTCACCGTCTTCCTCCCTCTCTCTAGATTTTGAGTGTTTGTTGAGAATGGGGAAACTGGATAGGAAAAAGCCCAAACTGTGTTGTTGAATTTACGATAAAGCCACGAGTTTTAATCTGATACGTTTCTCCGAGGTGCATACGGTGTCGTTTTCTGACTGTGTCCAGCTTCCATTCCACAATAGCTCTTTTGGATTTATATCAAAATGGTGAACTTTCTGTGCAATTGAAGCCGAAAGGGAAAAAGTGAAAGGGATGATGATTTAATACAGTCCTAGGATCAGTCGCCATCAATCAATTTCTTGGGTTTTAATTTACTGTAATTTTTTTATTTTTCGTTTCTTCTCAGCCCAAAATTACCATCTGGGCTTAGCTCCTTGATGAAATTCGACCCACTTGATTATGGCCCAGCTTCAATAATCAAGTCCAGTTAATTGCTGAAACGACGCCGTTGTCAGCTCCTCTTCTTCTTCTTCCCCAATTCTTCAATCTTTGCCAACCGAACCCTAAATTCGATTGGGAAGCAATAATGCCTAAATACAAAGACGAGCCTACTGCAGTTCGTGTCTATACAGTTTGCGATGAATCCAAGTATGTACCTCTCTCTCTCTCTCTCTCCAAAATGCCATACGAATTTACATTTACACACACACACACACACACACACACACACACACTAACTATTAGAACTTTGACCCGGCGGTGGAAAAAGAAGAAAAAATGAGAATATATAGAAGAGTAGATGTGTTGGAGGCGATGAGAAGTGAGGTGGGCGGCGGCGGAGGGATGCTGAGGTGGCGCCGGATATTTGGATCCTGTAAATTGGAAATTCATCCATGGTTGATGTTTCTGTTTTGATTTTAATGTGACAGCTGTCAAATCAACATTTTTTGTTTTCGCTTCTGCAGATTCCTGATTGTGAGGAACGTTCCTTCTCTCGGATGCGGCGATCAGCTCGCGCAGCTGTTCTCTACTTACGGCCAAGTCGAAGAGTAAGTTATTTATCGAGCGACTGAAATCTCTTACGTGCGAGTTTAGTTACGTTTTAAATTCCGATTTCGTTGCTAAATTTTTTTCAGATGTAAGCCTATGGATGCTGAAGACTGTGAGCAATATACCGATGTTTACTGGATCAAGTTTCATCAGGTCAATAATGCCAGGTAGATATTTGCACGCTTATCGATTCTCTATGTCTTCGTTTCGAATATTAACGAAATTGTTAAAGATTGATTGAATCGGTGAGAATGTAATGTGTGTATCTTGTATTTGGGATTCGTGATTAACTGATTATACAATCATTGTATTCGGTAATATTCTTCATCGGGTTATAGAATAATACGGGTCGAGTTTGGACTAAATATCCTTCATTTGCTCGATTGAAATTCGGGCCTAGACAAAAGCCTAGTTTGAATCCCGAAACAAGGCCCGTGTTGCTTAATAAATCAGCGAAGTGTGTATTATTGCATTACGATTTACGCGGATGTATATTGTGTCTGGAATTATTAAACTTAAACTTGGCGATTGTGATAGGTTTGCTAAAAGGAAATTGGATGAGTCCGTTTTTCTTGGAAACCGAATACAAGTATCGTATGCGCCTCAATACGAGAGCCTTTCCGATACGAAAGAGAAGTTAGAAGGGAGGAGGAAAGAAGTTTTATCACGACTAAACCGTAAGTCCGCAATAACGTAAGTTTAATATAAATTAATATTCTCTCGTTTTTTTCAAAATTCTATATACTATATTGTTCATTGAAATCGATTTGTTTCAGCTAGAAAATCCAACGCACCTTTGAATTCTAGTAGTAAGCCTTTCTCGGTTTCGAATCCTTTGCTAAAGGATAAATTTTCTCAGACATCTTCCTCAGCTCAAAGTCAAAGTCAAAGGTACTTCGATGCTTAATTAGCGTGAGTATATACGTATGTCATCGGGCACTATGTATTTGTTTACGCAAAGGTCTCTTTATCTTGCAGGCAGTCGAGCGAATCACGAACTGTCGCCACTGGACAAACATACTCCATGTCATTAGTTCAATCCGATAAGGTTTATTTATGAATTTTATTTAGATTTCTTCCGTACATTAGTAATTACTTAGATTCGAGACGTGGTTTTTTTTTTATTTATTTATTTTTATTTTTTTATTATTGAAAGAGCATTTGGTGTGTTGAATGATGTCAGGAATATTTCCCGTCGGAATCTATGAATCGAACGGTTCATTTGGTGAGGGATAAACTGAATAAGGTGATTGTTTTATGTGTCGAAGTAAATTATTTTTTTCGTCGGTATTGTAGCTTTTTTTCCCAAGCTTTACGTTTGATTTCGTCTATTTCTGCAGATACAATCAACGAGTAGCGAGCATACAGAAGCTGGTTCCTCCAAAAAGGCACGTGTCGATAATAGAAGAAGAATCTAAATAGAGTTTTGGAAAATGGAATACGAGTTATTTTTGTAGTTGAGTTCTCTACTTTTATTCGATTCTCGATTGTTTGTTAAAAATCGTTTGAGCTCGTTTATTAACATAACTAAACAATTCTCGAATAAATATTTCCGCTTGATAACTTATGAAGCCCGACTCGACTGCTTTTATCGAATCCAAGTTCAAACAACAGTTTGATGAAAGCCGATAACGATTCAAACAAACACGCTTTTTATTTGTAAAATATTTTTTCCGGCCCCCCTCTAATTTAATTAAATTATATATTCGACCCCACCTCACTAAATAATAGTCTCTAATACAAAACACTCTTATCTGGTAGTGAGATATTAAAGATGAGATGAATCTATTGTTTGGATTACTTTTGCTCTTTTGGCCCTTCGCTCAGATATTCTGGATAACAATTATTTTTATTACATATATTTATTTTAATAATTATTATAAATATCCTGATATTTCCTTCTCTCAGTCAGCACTTTTCTTCATTTGTTTGCTTCCTGTTTCTCCTATTTAATTTCTTTCTCCAGGTTGTCTATTCCTTAACTATACTTGTAGTAATTTTTATTGTTCTTGTCCACTTGCATACGAAAGACGAAAAATGTATGAAACACACTACAAACAGCTGCCTCATTTTCCCTGCTTGCATTGCCACCCTCATACCTACATAAAAATAGTAAAAAACTCTCCTTCACACATATATATATATATATATATATATATATATATATATATATATATATATATATGTAAGTAGATGTTTATGAATTAATAATTGCAGGTGCAAAACCTTATAGAGAGATGCTTGTTGCTTCGTATGGACAGGGAACAGTGTGTTACGGCGTTGGCTGAACATGCTAGAATTCGACCACTCGTAACACTCACCGGTACGGTATTAATTAATTAACTACTTAATTAATCACTGATTAAATATATTCTTGAACATTTAATTTTCTGATGATGATGATCTTTGTATATATATGGTTGAATTGCAGTGTGGAAGGAGCTAGTGAAGGAGAACAAGGACTTCTTTCGCTCGTATTTCCAGTCTTCCTCTCTAGTGCCATACACAAACCAGTGGTGGAGATAGACAAACTATTAGAAATCACTTTATCTAGGCAGATTACTATGTATTATTGTCATCGAAAAATTGAAAAAAAATTAGCCGTTATAAGCTATTATATATATATAGTCATGTATCTCTATAAATGGCTTTAGTATTGAGCATTTCGCCATTAATACGATATGTATAAGGTTCGTCTTGGAACAATTCTTAATAAGTATTCTCAAATTTGTAATAAACTTTCGAGAACTTGAAAAACAGAGTGGTTTGCTATATAAATGGAAAAGGAAAATTGTCTCAAAGGTAGCGAACACAAATAGTACAACTATCGTTATAGTAAAAAATGGGCATGTCAATGGGACATGTTAAGACGCGTCGGCGGTACGATCAGAAGAGGGAGAGGAGAAAAGATCAGCAAATAGGGGTTTAGGAGACACACGGATGCTGATAGAATCAACGATCAAGATTGAAGGAACTAGAGAATTCTTAGTGTCTGACCGATTTTGGACTTTTGTGTTACCGAGCTTTGTGTTGGGCCTTAGAATAGAGTGGATTAATGGGTTGGATTCAATAATTCATTGGGCCCAAACATATGTGTAAATTAACGATTAAAAAATAATAATAAACTTATTAATAAGGTAGTTAAAAAAATAATTAAAAGAAAAATCAAGAGAGAGAAAATATCGATCCACACCCACACGACGTCGTTTCCGGCCTAAACGGCGTCGTAGCCTTCTGCTCCAGAATTCCAAAAATATCTTTATCCTTCCCCCTCCATTTCATTCCTCTCCAAAAAAAGTGTACAGAAAAACCAGAAAAAAAACTCACATCACTAACACATATACATACACATATACGTACACCAAACTGACTTCCAATGGCGATTCTCGCAACACTACCCGGTCCAAACCACTTCTCAACACTACCCACCACCGCACCTCCGTCAAACCACCCCACCCCCTCCCACCCCCCCAAACCCCCCATACCCATCCCCAAATACCCGCCCCCTCTACGCTTCCAAAACCGCCCCCCAAAGCCCGACAGCAGCCCCGCCTTCAAAACCCACCACCGCAACTCCAAATACTACAAGCCCGTCAAACCCGGGCAGAAAATCCCCCTGCCCGACGCCGACAATCGGGCAGTCGTCGTCGGAGATTCCGGCATCTCATACCAACTACCCGGTGCTCCGTTCGAGTTCATGTACAGCTACTCGGAAACACCAAAAGCTCAGCCAATAGCAATGCGGGAGCCGGCCTTCTTGCCCTTTGCTCCGCCGTCTATGCCGCGGCCGTGGACTGGCAAAGCTCCGATGAAGAAAAATAAGAGGAATATTAAGCTTTTTCAGCCGTTGGGTGCCGATGAAAACAATGATAAATTGAGTATGAAACGGTACGAAATGTTGAAGGATTATGAGTTGGGGAAGTTTAGTATGAGGCCGCGTGACGAGGTTTTGGGCGCACCCCTTTCGAGGTGGGAGGTTAAGGAGATGATCAGACCGCATTTATCGAGTAATAAACAGGTTAATTTAGGTGGGTTGTTCTTTCTGTTTGGTGTAATGCATTTGGTTATTGATGTTCAGAGTATGTGGTTTGATGCTTCGAAAAATCGTTTCTTGATGCTATGTGTTAGCTAGTGGCTTCTCGAGATTTTACGTTTCCCGTTTCGAATTTATGAAATTATCTATCTATTTGCACGACTTTCTTGAAGTTGATATATAGCGTTTATGTTTTGATTTTCACTTTTTCGTTATGACCGTTGTTCTTGGAATTAAATTTCGACCATGGAGTTAAAATTGTGTTGTTTTGATGTTGACCTTGTGTTTTGATGCTTCGAAAATCGTTTCTTGATGCTATGTTTAGCTAGTGGTTTCTCGAGATTTACGTTTCCCGTTTTGAATTTATGAAATTATCTATCTATTTGCACGGTTTTCTTGAAGTTGATTTATAGCGTATATGTTTTGATTTTCTATTTTTCGTTAGGACCATTGTTCTTGGAATTAAATTTCGATTATAGAGTTAAAATTGTGTTGTTTTGATGTCGACCATTTTTTGAGGTAGTAGTCCATGTGTTTAGATGCTTCGAAAATCGTTTCTTGATGTTATGTTTTACTCGTAGTTTCCCAAGATTTACGTATCTTATCTATGAAATTATCTGTCTATTTGCACGACTTTCTTGAATTTTAATATATAGCTACTATGTTTTGGTTTTCAATTTTTTCGTTAGGACCATTGCTCTACTCGATAGTGAGAATATAATAGTATTGTTAGGGTTACAGAGGTCTTGATCGAGTTATTCGATTCTGTAGGTAGAGATGGATTAACTCATAACATGTTGGAGCTAATACATTCACATTGGAGGAGACAACCCGTATGTAAAGTTCGTTGCTTGGGCGTTCCAACTGTCGACATGGACAATATATGCCGCCGCCTCGAGGTTCATCACCTTCTCATCACATTAAAGCACTTATTTTTTCTCGTTCGTGTCTGAAAAAAAAAACGGGTTTTCTTGTTCTGACAGGAAAAATCAGGTGGGAAGATTATACATAGGGTAGGTGGAGTGTTGTATCTATTCTGTGGCAGAAACTATGATTTCCGAAAACGCCCTCAGCTACCGTTGATGCTTTGGAAACCAGCTGCACCCGTTTATCCGAAGCTTATACAAGATGCCCCCGAAGGGTTGACTAAAAAAGAAGCAGATGAATTGAGAACGAGAGGGAAAACCCTACTCCCAATTTGTAAATTAGGTGAATAATTGCGAAACGAACTCATTTTCTTGATAATTTTGATTTTCTGTTCGATGATTTATTTGTTTGTGAAATAGGAAAAAACGGGGTTTATATCACCCTTGTGAGAGATGTGAGGACTGCTTTCGAAGGATCTGTGTTGGTTAAATTAGACTGCAGAGGAATGCATGCTACTGATTACAAGAAGCTCGGTGCTAAACTCAAGGTTGGTTTTAATTTTAATTTTTTTTTTACTAATCGAAAAAAAAAGAATACATTATGTAATAAATTATTTGTTTATATTCAACAGGAATTGGTACCCTGTGTTTTGCTATCTTTCGATGATGAACAGATACTGTTGTGGAGGGGAAGAGAGTGGAAATCGATGTTCGAGGATGAAACCCCTTCGATAAACCGTTCTTCTGGTCGTGGATTAAATAATACCAATATTTCAGGTGAGATTAATTGTTATAGCTTTGATTATGGGTGGAAATAGAAACATAAATTTTGATTTCCGTCGATTCTGATCCGAAATTTTCCGATTTTGGAATAATATTGTTCATTCCAAATGCCGATATTCCGATTTTTCCGTTTTTTTGGATCAGAATTGGAATATATATGAGATTCCAACTTTTGATCCGATTTTAATTCTCGAAAATAATTCTGAAATTTCCAATTTGTTTCGGAATATTACACTTGTATTATCAATATTATTATGTATTTTACGCTTTAGGTGACTAAAAAATGGGGGGAAAAAAATCAAATTCCGCTGATTCCAATATGAAAATTTCCGATTTTGGAACAAGTTTTTTCATTCCAATTTCCGGAATTCCGATCTTCCAATTTTTTTTGTACAATATTTTTTTAGTGTTAATTCCGATCTGATCCATCCGATTTTCACCCCTAGCTTGGACTCTATATTAGTAGTTTCTAATTTTTTCGTAATATTTTGTTAAATTGTTTTTTGCAACGACACAGAAGCTAAATCGGTGGGACCAAGCCCCAAAATGACGTCCTTGTGGCAGCGCGCTATTGGATCTGGAAAGGCTTCGGTTTTGGATGAGATTTATCTAAGTCCAGATGAACTGTTACAGAAGGTGGAGGAATTCGAGAGAAAAACTCAGGCTATAGAGCACTCTTATCCTGCAATGATTTATTCAAATACAGTGGACGAAGAAGCATACAAAGAAAACGATGATTACGAAGACGATGATAAATTCTACAGTAATGATTCGTTCGAAGATGTAGATTCTCCGGTCCCACTTGGATCGCTGCCCGTTGACTTTATAGCTAGGAAGCTGACCGACGGTCAAGATCAAGTCCGGAAAATATAAGAACTTTGAGGATGAATCCCTGTTCTATTCACAATTCATTCTGCAGTTTCCCAGTAAGATGATAAATAACACATCTTGTATATTCCATTGCTTTTTTTTTTTTCTTTGTTCAAAATTTATTTATACTCTCGAGTTATTGTAATATGTATACACAATTTATGGTTGAATTTCATATACAAGTTCTTTTTGTTTAGGGTAAATTAAGGCAACGCATGAGGTAACGTCAAATTATGAAAATACCCCTCATGTTTGGGTAGTTACAACCGCTCCCATCAACTATGAATCTTCCTACAGTTGATTCTTGTGGAGTCAAATTTAATGGAATATTTTAGATTAAATATTCTTTAGTTTGTATCCATTTTATCCCGTTCGAGTTCCACATTTTGAAATAGGATGATCATAAGATGTATCTCTTGACTTGTACATATCAGATTGTGGTGCCTCAAAAACTGCATTTTTGTACAAAACGAGTACAAGTTAGAGAACATTCCACTGAATTTAGAAGATTCAGTTGAATTTGACACCACAAGAAGGATGAATATGTAAGAAAATTCATAGTTACGGGTTGATTGTAATTATCAAAACATGAAGAGTTTTTTCGTAATTTAAACTTATTCAGGGGTTGGCCGTAATTTATCCAAAATTGTAATATTGTGGGGTCAGTACATTTTAATGTTGGATTAGTTGGGCTGCTGACGTGTAAATTTATGGTTCTTCTAGAATAGTCCTACATTTTATGACTCTTCTCTCTCTCTCTATCTTCATCCACTGGTCCGACAATCCCGCACCGCAGAACGCAACCAACACAAAATGTAGAATCAAAGAAAAAAGAGTATCGGGCAGCATATTCTTGATTCTATTCGTCCCTTCTAGGTCAAACAATTGGAAAACAAAAAAAATAAAAAAAAAAAATCAAATCTTTGCAAGTCTTGCAAAGATTCCAAGCAAATCCAGGTATTACACTAAATCCCCACTTCATTTATTTTTTAAACTTTTATGCCCCTTTCTCAAAGTTGGTCGCGTCCAATTTAATTTGTATCCAGATATATTACACAAATATGTTTATGTTTACATGCGAAATGTTTGTTTCTTCTTCTTCGATTATGTTAAGGTTGTCGGGAATCTTTATTTACAGGTTCTTGATTTTTTTCCCCCTTTGCTTCAATTTATATTGGGCAATATGTGAAACAGGGTTGTTTAATTGATGACACTTGGCGGCCAGTCATGACAGTTGACACAACGGCCCCAAGTTATTGGTTAAACTGGAGGTTTTTACTCTCTGCAATATGGCTCATAGTAGCGATGGTGCTCTCTTCATTTATAATATGGAAATTCGAATTTCATAGCAAATCCAAGAATCAACAACCGGGTCCAAATAAACGGGACCCGGTTCGCTTGTACAAGGGCGAAGCTTGGGGTACATGTTCGAAATCGATACATCCAATTTGTCTGCTTGCATTTCGGATTCTTGCTTTCTGCGCCATGCTGGCATTGATTCTTGCTGATTCTATCATCAATAGTTTCGGCATATTCTATTTCTACACGCAGTAAGTCGGTTTTATTTTTTTTACGTTTTTTCGTTAGAAAAATCGTTAATTTGTTAGTATTTATCTCGTTCGTTTTTCGTTGTTTAATTAGGTGGACGTTTACTTTGGTGACCGTCTATTTTGCGGTATGTTGTTAAGTAGCGAAAAACTCGTTCAATTATGCGTGAATTCGATGTTGTGTTATGGTAGTAAGATGGTTTTTGAGTTGTATATATATTTGTAGCTAGGGTGTTCGCACTCGATTTACGGATGTCTGTATAATCGCAACAAAGCAGATTTCGAGCAAGGATCCAATGTGGCACCCTCACTTGGTGAGGATGCAGAAATGCACACCACTAATAACAGAATCTTGAATCGATTCGATGACCCTAATTGCAAAACAGCATCTCTTTGGGAATATTCCTTGCAAATTATTTTTCAGGTAAAATTTTTCCCCTGCTATTTATTATTATTATTTTTTTTAAATTCTATATTTATGTTATAACTTTTTCGTTACTTCTATTTTAGATGTGTTGTGGAGCTGTTGCACTCACCGATTCTGTCTTTTGGCTCGTATTATACCCGTTTTATACTGGCAAAGATTTCAGATTACACTTTGTGAGTAAAATCTTTTTTTTTAATTTTTTTTTAATTTTTTATTCCATCATCTCGATCGATGTTTTTTAACCTTTGACTGTGTTTTTTCTTTGTCTGTAGCTGATTATTTGCATGCATTCTGTTAATGCCGTTTTCCTCCTCGGTGATGTTATACTGAATTCTCTGGTAGGCTCTCGAGATTAATATACTTTTTAATTATTTAAAAAAAAAAATTAAATATTATACACGACTAACATAAATATTAATTTGTTGCAGCAATTTCCCTTCTTTCGAATTGCATATTTTGTTATGTGGACATGTATATTCGTCGTTTTCCAGTGGATCTTCCATGCTTAAGATACGAAAGAGGCATATATTTATTCACTTTATTTCGATAGTAAAACCATTTCGACGAGATAATAATTCACGTTCATTAAAATCTCAAATTGTAACCAGTTGGGCTTTATGCTTTACTGGATAATGTCATCTCGTATGCTCCTTTATGGGAACAAATAAATTCCCATACAAATATATATACGAATGTTTTCTCGTACTAATCGAAGTACTTTACGCACTAATCTTACCTCTGAATTATTAATTTTTTTTTTGGGCAGGTATTTGGGTGTTGGGCTGCTACATTTTCCATGTTTTGGGATATTTACTGTTATATTCAAGATTAAACAATTTTGTTTATCAAGATAGCTGTTCGAAACGACATTCGATACGTCTCCGAGTGTGGGACCGTTATCTTTTACGCACAAATTGTTATTTAACAATATGATTAATTAATTATCATATATGTTAAATGCGAAGCTTCGGTAGGAATCAAGAATTACTGTAACTAATTATCTTACATTTCCTTTTCCAGTTCGCTCATTAACACTTAAAAATGGCTCGGCTCGAGCTTTTATCGAGCTGACTCATCGTATTCATAATTTTTGCTCAACTTATTCACAGCTTTTCGAACTCGAGCTTTTATATCATATAGTTACAATGAATCAAGCGACTAAGAATTTCTTCATACTCAATTTTTGGTTAAAATTATCGCGTAAAATGGTGCGGTGTATTTCGATCCGAGTTCAAACCTGCTTCACCTTTTATCTCTATGTATATACATGCAATACATATATACTACACATATCTGAAGCGTCTCTCCCCCAAAGAACTTACCATAAAATTAAGGGTAAATTACAAACACCCCCTGAGGTATGGTCAAATTACAAAAACACCCCTCTTGTTTGGATAATTACAACCACCCCCTCAACTCCTCAAATTTAGTGGAATCTTCGAGATTATATGGAATATTATCACTTTTGTACCCGTTTTATCCCATTCAAACTCTACATTATGAAGCAAGATGATCATAATATGTGATTTTTAACTTGTATATATTAGTTTGTGGTGCATCGAAAACTGTATTTTTACACAAAACGAGTACAAACTAGAGCACATTTCACGGAATCTAGATGATTATGTTGAATTTGGCACCATAAGGGTGAAGGTGTAAGAAAAAATCATAGTTGAGGGGGGTATATGTAATTATCCAAACAAGAGGGGGTTTTTTGTAATTTGACCATACCTCAGGGGGGTGTTTGTAATTTACCCTAAAATTAAATAAAAAAAAAATCTTAAAAAATAAAAAGAAGTAAAAACTCTATTGAAAGAGTGACATGACATAGTTCCTTGATCAGTATCTTTAACGTATGTAAGTAGCTATATATATATATACACACACACTCACACACATATATCTGCATATATGATATATGCTTCTTAATCCAGAATTGGTCTGCCAAATGTGAATTGCTAAATTCATGTGTTAATTTTATGTTTTTTTTATAAATTTTAATAAACTGCCAATTTGCTACATATTAAAAAATTAAAAAAAAAACTAAAAAAAAAACTTTTACTTGAAAAAAAATATACAAATGATGAAAGATTTTATTTTGGGTTTGGGCCAAGTCTGATAGACACAGTTTTCTAATGGGCGCTTATTGCAAAATCCAGTCCATTTAATACACTTTTTTTTTTTTTAAATTAAAAAAAGAAAATAATGAAATAAAAATAAAAATGAAATATAAACTTGGGGAAAGGAAAGAGTAAAGAGGCGGACCATGCTATTCCAGCTTTAACTGTCCGCACATCAAATCAATATCAAATCAATCAAATCAGTCAAATTGTGTCTTTGCTTCCCTCAACTTGTTTATTGCTTTTACTTGTGCCACTAATATATATTACTTTTCACACTCAATTAATCTTTCATTTATTTTTTTCATTTTTTTTATAATACATATAATATTTGAATACGAAGTTATTTTCATTTTTTTTTTTTTTGAGGAGGGAGAAACTATTAATCATAACATAAATTACTTTAACACTATGGAACTATATAAATTAGAGTATTTTTAGTTTGTTAAAAGTTAGCACCGTTACGGGCCAGTCGAAAACTCGAAAATACAATAGTTTGTTTATTGCGTATTTTATGTTTTGTTTCGACGGAAAAAATGACCTAAAATTAGGTCAAATTTAACCTCAATATAGGTAGTTTTATTTTTATAGAACTCCTTCTGCAACATATGTTTTATCATGTAATGTCATCAAAAATTGTTTATATTTTCGTATACCTTCTTTTCTTTTTTTATTATTTCAATTTTCATGGGACAAAAAATTATTCCAACTATAATTAGATATTCATTATTTATGCCAGTTTATTTTCACTCCATACATTTACCAATGATGCCGGTTAAAGTTGGAATAAATTTTATATATATTGGTGCAATTTATACACATGTTTATATCACATATTTTTTTTTTTAAAATAAATATTGGACTATTGGTATCGGAGTATAGTTGATGTGCCCTAATTCATTTTTCCATAAGCCTTTTTCAACAAAAATAAATTTACCCATTAAAATAAAACAAAAACTACATTTAGGTGAGGCTACAAAGCTATTTAGGTCTTAAAAGATCATTATCTTTTTAATTTTAGCTACTGAAATATTAAATGTCGTTTTAATTTTATTAAGATCGTTTTGTCTATGAACGTGATTTTGATAATTTTCTATTTGATTTTGGCAAAACTCAAAACACAAAAATTATAGTACTTTGTATTAATTTTCTAATCCAACTCGAATCAGTCAAATTGGATGTCAGATGAAAATTATGCATGAATCATGAGTTACATTTCGAATTTTACGTAACTCAGACATCAAAATTGAAAGACGATTTTTATTGATTCATGCACATCTTTCTAACCCGACATTCAATCTAGGTGATTAGAGTGAACATATGTATTATCATTGGTGTATTAATTAGGAGATGGTTTTTTTTTAAAGCAATTTAATAAAAATATGGGGTACAATTGCAATTAACTCAAAATTATAAACTTAATATAGCAGCAAATTTTTTTTAATTCTGAATATATAAACTAATAATAGAAAGAATGGGCCTCCTCAGTCGGCTTCAGTACCTGATCCTCAGCTCGACCATCGTCTCCATATATTCTTGCTTGTTCTTCAACAAATAATTACAATCAGACCTATATAAACAGCATTAATTACAATTCTGACCTTTTATCTTCCTTATATATATAATAATAATTTGAAAGGGATACAAATTTTTGGAGTGCATAAATTAAATATGGATGAAATGTATGGGATTCATCACTCAATTGGTTACGACTACTCAGACAAGGGTTTCATGTCACCTGATGAGAATCTGATGATCGCGGCGGCGGAGTACGGCGGCGGCGAGTATACTTACGACTATCATCATCATCATCAGCTGATTCCATCCTCCGCCGATCACCGCCACCGTATTCCGGCGGTGTTTGAATCATCATCATCGGCGGCGGCGACGGCGGCATCTGAATCCGCTTCGTTTTCTGTGCACAACGAGGGTGATCGGAAATACCAGGCGGCTAATTCCGATTCGATCAAGGCTAGAATTGCTTCGCATCCTTCTTACCCGAAGCTTCTCGATGCATATATCGATTGCCAAAAGGTTTTTTTTTTTTTTTAAATCAAGCAATCGCTCTGAAATTATAGTTGATTTTGATTTGGTCCTTTTTTAGGGGTTTTTTTTTTGCCGGAAAATTAAAACCTAATTGTGGTGGCCTGTTGAGATTAATTATTGCCTAGAACAGTGATTAATTTAATTTAATTATTTCTGGAAATAAAATGATATTACTGTGAGATTAAATGTAAATAAAGTTAAGTTACTTTTGGATTTGAATAATTCCCAGGTAGGAGCAACCCCTGAGATAGCGAGTTTACTGGACGAAATCAGGAGAGATAAAGACGTGTCTAAACCAGCAGACACTTCTTCGTTGTGCTTTGGATTCGATCCTGAACTCGACGCGTTTATGGTCTCTCTCTCTACTTTCTCTCTCTAACTCTCTCTCTCTCTCACACAGTTACACACACTGATAAGCATACATACATCTGAGTTGAAGCTTAGTTTTACTATAGTTAATGGCAGTGAATGATGATTTCTGGATATTTATTTATTTTTCCTTTATTTTTTAACTTTCTCTCTCTAAAAAGGAAACTTACTGTGAAGTATTGGTGAAATACAAGACGGATTTGTCGAGGCCTTTCAACGAAGCAACCTCCTTTCTCAACACAATCCAAACACAACTTTCCAACCTCATTTGCAAAGGCAAGCTCCTCTCTCTCTCTCTCTCTCTCTCTCTCTCATCTCTTCTCTCTCTAAACATGAGAATCCAACGGCTATGGTTTTATTAATCTTTACTCAAAGTGTGTTAACTATGGCAGCACAGTTCATTTCATGCATGTGTCAGTGTTATACATATATTCATATACATGAATCGATTTATTACCAAAAAAAAAAAAAAAAAAAAAAATCCCCAACACCAAATTATAGAAACCAAACCCTAATAAACTTTAATCATCAACCATATTTAATATAATTTAATTTGGGTATATTATAATAAGGGTGTTACTATTTGCAGCGAGACTTTTACTGAAATTGGCTTATTTGCAGCGGTACCTTTTTCATTTAATTTTTTTTTTTCAATTTCTCTCTCCTATTCCAAACACTCTCTAGAATTCGAATTTCGTAAAAAAAATTGAATCTCCCGTTTTCTGCCTACCCAATTAAAAAAATTAATAATATAAAGGAATATGAAAATTAATAATACCAAAAAAAAAAAAAAAAAAAAAAAAAAAAAAAAATTGAAAATTGAAACCCAAGTTCCCGTGCTGTACAGCACGGGTAACTCAATATTTTCCCCATTTTTTATACTTCTCGTGCTGTATAGCACGATTAAACATACTTTTAAATTTTTTTTTTCTTTCTTTTTACCATTTAAAAGTTATTCGGACCAGCAATTTAAGAAATCATTGTTCGTTTTTGAATTTGTCGAACGAGCTTCAAATTCTAAGTTTTCGATTTTTTTTAGTTGAGAGCGTTTCGGTTTTTTTAGAAAGTTAGAAAATTGACAAATGAGACTACCGCTGCAAATAAGCCAATTTCAGTAAAAGTCCCGCTACAATTAGCATTTCAGTTATAATAAATGTAACAAGTGCTCTCATCTGATCATTCCTAGGAAATATAGTAAACCTTAAATTAGAGTAAAGTCAAGCGGTGATATATCTACACAGTGATCAAAATTCGCAACAGTGTCAACACTTTCTTTTTTCTTTTTTCTTTTTTAAATTTTTTTCCTTTGTTCTTGGTTGCTTATCACTGTCATTTTCCTTTTAGTACATTGATCTTTAGTTTCTTGTCAGATGAAATAATTTGAAGTTGGAAAAATATAAGCCATGTCACAGATTTAGATTCTGACTTTGACTTGTCTTACCACTGCTTTCTTGTTTCTCATACATGCACTGTTTCAGAAAGAACACATGTTTGTAGTATATATATGCATGTATGTATGTTTTTTGTCATTTAATTGGTTCCTTAAGTTGGTGTGATGTTAGAGTTTAGAACCACCGTTTGGCTAATCCTGTTTTAAACATCTGATTATCTCTTGCATTTGATAAGCAGTTGTTTTAATAAGTTGTCACGTCTTAATTTTAGAATTAATTTTTAAAGTGTTTGAATAATGATCTTATAAGCTATTTTTACTAATTTTATATAAAACCTAAAATAAAAATATGTGGGGTATAAGCGTTTATGAGAAAAATCTTATTTGCTCTCTCCAATAACTTATTTTTTGAATTTTTAAGATTTTTTTTTTTAAATTACCAAACACGTTGGAAGAGCTTATAAGCTCTTTTTAACAGCTTATCCCTAGCAGCCACTAAGTGGTCTGTCATTTTTGAATGTATAAGTTATGAAATATTGGGTTTTTATTCGATAAACTATAAAACTAGGTTATCGAACGAAAAAATTGGCATGACTAGGTTTATCAAGGTCAATAAGCTTGGTAAATTGTTTTTTATCACCATTATTACATGGAAAAAGAGGTAATATTAATAAACTGAATTATGAATGCAGAATTATGAATGCAGTTCTTGTTTCTAAAGAAAGAAAGAACACCAAAAGATGCTTTCTTAGTTTTGATGAAGTGGCACCTCAAATGCTTGCTATATATGAATACAACATGAATCGGAGTTTTGCTGCCTTGTGTTTACATCTTTGATCTCATTTGTCACATCGGTTTATACTATGCTACACTTGGTGAAATACACCTCATACAGATCTTTATCATTTATAAGCACACAAACACATACACACACACCCCCACGTTGGTATGTGTAGAAATAACCTTGTTTAATTACAGCTGAAATCAACCTAGTTTAATTACTTGGCATTATTATTTAATTTCCTATCATATGATATTTCCTTCTTTTGCATACGATGATTATGGTGTTCTTGATTTTAGTTTTTCATTGCTATATGATGTAGTCTAGGTGAATTCTTCGTACATTTAGGGGTGGAAATTAAAATAAAATAACCGATTTGTATGTGAATTTCGGACGATGCTTTTCATTCTGAGTATTGAAAAAAAAAAATCAATTTCCTAATTATTTTCCTGACAACCGAATCCAAAATTATCCATTTTTGGAACAAATTTCATCGTATCGATTTTATTTTTTCTGTAAAAGTTAACTTCTATGCGATAGAATTTTTCTTAACGTGCTAATTCTGATGCGATCAGTCCAATTTCTGCACTTGTTCCTAGTAATTTGGTTTGATTTTAGTATAAACTAAAGTTAGATAGTTTTAAGTTCTGACCTTTTACATGTTAAGACGAGTGAGGCAATAAACAAATAAGATTAATAATTAAAATAAAATAAATAGTTTGGAGGACCCAAAAGAAGTGGCCACATTATATAGTGGGGGTTTTGGGAAAGAACACAAAAAAAGTGGGGCAGTTTGAATGACTTTATCTAGTGAAGCCCGGATAGGGCGGGTGGTAGATAATTCACATGGACTCCCGGTTTTTGCGCTGAAACCCGGCCCACACTTTTCTCAAACATTCAACTACCCACGCGTGTACACACACTTACACCTACTCGCCTTTTAATTGGTCGTCAATTTGGCCATTATTTTCCACCACTTTG